CAATTTTCCTCCTTTTCAGTTTGCACAAAAGCTCCGTCGAAATCGAATTAGCTTCTGCAGATGAGTGTAAAGCAAATGCTTCACGGTGTTGGAAGTCGTTGGTCGGTAGCGTATCATCCTTCCAAGCCGATCCACATAATCCTGGAACGGATCGATCTCACTTGTTGTTGACTCTTGAAGCTCTACATTCTTATCCCGTTTACCTGATACGTGGAGTACGTCATTGTCTCGCAGCGGTCTTTCTCTTACACTTCCACGGTGACGTGAATCGAGCAGCCGATCTCTGTAATGAGGCATCCGATCAATTGGAGCACATTGGTCGTCGTTTGCAGCGAGTGGAATCAAAACTACTCAAGCAGCGTCTGCGACAACAACCGGCCGCGTCCGACTCTTCCGATATCCCAAATGCTATGAGCCTTATCGCTAGAGCTAAACAAGATGCTGGATGGATGCACTTTTGGTACTACGTTTTAGCTCGAATACGATCAATCATCCATTCACACGAGTACCAATTCCGTCTGCTGCTGGACTCCTCATTGCTCGACGAAGTAGGTCCTTACTTTTCACGTCTTCTCGATTTGTTAAACTGTATATTAATACCATGAAATGATGCTTCTACTTCTTCTTTTGACTGTTTTGTCTACTTTCACCAATTTTCAAAATTGTTTGAATGTCCGTTCGATCGCGAGTGGTGGTGGTGGTCAAGCGGTTTATATATCTTGTATACTCCAAGCACTAAGTTTAAGGGTTCAAACTCTGTCATCGCCACGCGACTTCGGTGGTAGGCAGCTTCGCCGCCGTCCTCCTCCACTCCAACTTTAGAGGGCTTTTTGGTATTTGTGTAACTGTAGGTCATATCTTCACATTTCAGTTGAAATGTACGATGGTCGTCACACAGAATAATATATACAAATGTGATATGCAACGTGAAAATGTCATTTAGGTTCGATTTATACACGCACTTCTGATGTAATTTACTAACGACCTAATCCTTTTAGGTTAGGAGTCGGGTTAGATAGGTTACAGGGAATTTCTCGTCAATGTTTGTACGAGAGGGTAGATGGAGGAGAACGACAAGATGATAGATCAGGTTGGAGTGGATAAAGATGGTCTACCGGAATCTTATTGGTAAATTTAATACACGAGTTGATGTGATTAATGAATCGATTAAAGTCAATGGCACACGACTGATTATCACCAATTTTTGTTCTAGGAGGCCGGGAAACACTAATGGGGAGTAACAGAATCGAACTGAGAAAACGCATTGGTGAACGAACTAGGACGAAACTGACTGTGGGCTTACCGGAGTTTCCGTAACTGAAATGAATGGCGTTTCAGTTTCCCTGCACGATTGCCAGTGTATGTGGACCGTTGTCAATGTCGGCACCCAGGTACTTGACAGAGGTCTCTCTAGACATGAGGTTGCAGTTGAGGGTAGCAGAGTCCGCTGGGATGGAAGAGCAGGAAAAACTGAACATAAACTTGAGGCACTTGGATGTGTTAAGACTAAGACCAGATTGGTTTGAAAACTGCTGGATCCGGGAAAGATTTTCGCTGAGGGAATCAAATGTCGAAGAGGAGAAAATTGTCTGACACGAAACGACATAGTCAGCGTATTTTTGGATATGCGCGGGAGGTGGAGCCGAAAGACCACTGATAAAAATAAAAGAAATGCAAACCAGCACATTGGAGCATACGGAACGTATTAGCTAAAGGTTTTGATGTACTGCTCAATTTGGTGCATTGGACCCCTTCTGTGAAATAATCAACAAGCCATGAGAGTTGCTGTCTCGGAGTGTCAAAATACACGTTTGGAGAGGAGGGATTATCGAGAAATGGAATCAAACGCAGACGGATAGTCAACAAAAACAACGGACAGAATTGATTGAATGTTCGATAACCTACTGATAAAACGAATTAGAGTGGACACGGCGTCCAGTGTAGATCTGGAACGAGTCATGGGGAATTGTGGTAATTGACTGCAGGCGACTAAGATTGGCCTTTTCTGTGAAGTTCGAGTTTCTGGGTTACCGGCTACATAAGTCCGATTAAACTAAAATGAATTGCGAACCAGTGTTGCGTACTACCTTCCGAACTTGTTATCGGTTTTGGGCGGGCTGATCCTATTTCGCCGGAGTGCAGCGCTTCAGCATCTTGTCATCTTACTACTGTTTTACTTAAACAATTTCTCTTTATGGTGTGCCCCTCCGTTAGTCACGTTACATAATAAGTGCTAGCCGGATGCACGCTGTCAACACACGTTTGGTCGGATTAAGGACGGAAATCAATCTTCACTCCGTTTACCGCCTCCTGTAGGGCTCGAATGGGTCAGGTCATATTCCCATTCGACTTTGACATGGATATTATCATCCAGAACACCCACTCCTGCCGTGTATCATGTCACCTGTCTTTGTCTGATAAATAGACTTGGTTGATGGTATCAAATGGTTTGATGAAAGTCCGCAGACATTTCATGCTCCAGTCCTGTTGACAAACACGCAAAAACTACTAAAACTGCGCCATGAAACAAATAAATCATTATTGCACTTTTCCTTCTGTATCTCTGCGACCGTTAGTTATCAGTTGGATGCTGTTGACATTGCTGTTCACCCCTTAGTAGTATAAGACGCGTTGACATATTATACCAGATAGTAGCATGTACAGCAAAAAACACAGTTTGTCTACTTTGATCGTTCCATACCACGGTTGAGGTCTAAAGGTTTGCGAATGTCGTTAGGTTCCATTCCGCCTGTTCCCCGAGCTTGGCAATATGTTTGCAAACGTTTCATCACCAACCGAGGTGACGTCGTCAAAGCATGTGATGATGTTCACCTTAGTTAGAGATGAAACGTTCGAAAATTGTTGCCAAGCTCGTCGAACGGGCGAAATGGAATTCAGTTCACCCGAGCTACAAAAACCGATTTTCAATACCTTTTAACGTCATTAAGTGTAAACTAATGGTTGTATACCGTAGTATGAGAGTTTAATGTGATTGTCTTCGATCCCCTCAGCAACTAGGAAAAAACGCCGGAGTACCAGTGATGTGGAACAACAACGAAAACACTTAAAATTATTTTTATATTTTCTAAATCGTCTTCTTTTTGGAACCACCAACATTTTTGTTGTGTCGACTTCGCTAGACCGAAAACGAAGCGGCTTATGGATTGCCGTCGGATTTGTCTACTGGGAGCTCCCATACGGGTGATTCTAAACCCAGTGGTAACAAATGCGCAAACAGTCGAGTTGCTCCAATGTTGTCACCTTTGACCAAACTCAGCCCGGTTGCTCCAAGTGATTCCAGAGCCGGACGACCTGCTCAATTTACCACGACATCACCAGACATGGATTCGGTCTCTTCACCAGGTGATTAAATATATATTCTTTTTTCCATTTTATACCACCACTTGCCATTCACTTTCGTGTGATAGTTTAGTCGCTGTCTTTTGACTACATTTGCATGAAAGAGTCTCAGTTTCAGTTTCTACAACCATTAACCATGCACTATCGTGCGCCGGTATTGGTTGATGTCCTTTGGCTGCCCATTTGATTATACAGGAAGGGTTAAGAGTGGGATCGAAGAGAAAAATTGAAAATTTCAGTGCACTAATGATACAGAGAAATTGAGATGCACGAAGACCACTGTTAACGACACCTAGCTAAATCACTCAGTGTCTCTAACCATCGGTGACGACCATCCCGAGGTCCTCACCAGGACCTATGTGATCTAGTCTCATGGTTAGGGTTTTCATACCCTCATAGCTTAACCACCCTTGGTTTTATTCCACCCACTGCCTGCCTCGGCGAACGTCGCTCACCGTGGCAACCTATCTAGTGACATGCGTAACACATGCTCCAACCAACGTAATCTATGGAGGTCGACCACTTGCTCCAGTGCAACCGCGGTTGCCTAAAACTTTGCGCCTAACCTCAGCATTGCTCGTCCGGCTGCCCCACCAGATTCATGCAATGCTGCGTAGACAGCGATGCTCAAACATCGACAGTCCGTTTTTATCCTGTTCCCGTAGTGGCCAAGTCTCTGCACCGTAGGGCAGAACTAGCTGAACTGCTGCATCATACACTCAACCCTTCACAATCAGGCGGATGTCGCGACGGCGCCACAGATGTCTCAAGTTGGTATATGCCAATCGAGCCTTCTGTATGCGCGCTGACACTTCATTTGTGATGCATCCACCGGGTGAGATATAGCTGCCCAGATAGCAAAATTTGTCTGCTTGGTCTATTACTTCCCCAGTTAGAGTGAGGCTGGGTGCTGGACCAACCCAATCTTGTAGTAGCATTCTACACTTTGAAAGTGCAAAACGCATACCGAATATGGCAACACTAGCACTCAAACCTTCCAGAAAAGGAGGATATGGCTTCTTCCGTAATCAAATCTATGACAAAGTTAAATAGGAAAGGAGAGAGAGGGCAACCCTGACGAACACCACTTTCGGTGGGGAACTCGGGCGAAAAAGTGCCGTAATCTCGGACTCGGCTTTGGCTATTCAAGTAAACCTCTCGAGCACAAGCTTCAGGGAAAGGCAGCGCCAGAGTTTAAAGCGGTCGACTGGGTCGGAAGCCGCTTTGAGATCGAGTAAGACGGAAATGGTGGGTCCACGAAAAGAATGTCGGTGCTTCAGAGTTTTGCGAAGATGTGGTCGCTACAACCTAGACCAGGTCTGAAACCAGTCTGGTTCTCACGCGTGCACTCTTCACGTGCGGCGGACAATCGACGGAGTATGATCCCAGCGAGAAGTTTGGAAGCAATGTTGATTAAACTAATTCCTCTGAGGTTTTCACAGGGGGATCTGTCACCTTTCTTGTAAATCAGTATGATCACTAATTCACACCATTCAGTTGGAACCTGTTCTCTCTCCCACATTGAGCCCAGAAGAAACCAAAGCTAAACCTCCATCCTTAAAAACGGATGGGGATATCCCGTCCGGGCCGAAGGCCTTATGCCTTTTGAGACAGCTTAGTTCCCGGGAAACCTCCATTTCAGATGGAGAATTGGCATCAACTGGCAGTATTTGTCCAGTCACGGTGGGGGGTGATGGTTCAGATCTCGATGGCGGCCAGTTGAGCTGAGCTTCGAAATGTTTAGCCCATCGATCAAGACGGTGTTGCTGATCGTGAGTCAGTGTGCCATCGGATTCCCTAATTACCTCCCGTTTATTTTCCTTGGATCCATCTTCCTCATTAGAGGGAACAGATTGCGACTATTACCGATAGCCGCAGCCTTCACCATCTATCTACGCTCTCGTATCCACGAAGTCACAAAGGTCAAAAATCGTTTTATTCATCCTAGTGGATTGATTCTCAGCTTGTTGCACTGCAGGAACATTTATCTTCGCATACGGTCACAAATAAAGTGAAATAGTAGCATCGTAACGTCAAAAGATTGTGGAGTAAAGGTTTGGAAATGAATATCAGTTGCGCAGGAAATTCAAGAAATTTTCTCTAACGGATGCCTCTTGAGCCAAAATCTCGATAGATAGGGGGATGACGGACAAACGATAGGTAATCGTGCGAGCATACACCAGTTTATAACGACATCTTGTTACAGAAGTGGATATGCATTGTTTAAGTTCTGTGTAATGTGTGAGTGGTGTCTGATAGAATATTGTTACAGAAATTATCGCAAGAAGTGAAACGTTTATCAGTGATAAAGTTAAGTAAGTGCAAATAAGGAATACCGCTTATGCGAAAAATAATTTTAATAGACCGGCAAGTAAACCTGGGGAGCACTAGAGAAGACGATCAACAACACCAAAAGATACAAATCGCGTGAGTAAAAACAGTGGAACTTTCAAAGAACGCAAGCGGGAAATAAGGAAACACAACCGTCGAATCTTTACAATGTAGGATTTAAGTGTGAAGTCCATTCGAGATCTTTACAGATTGTGACACCGAGGTATTCTAGAGAACTTACTAAAGGAAACAAGCTGGTTGTCAACATAGAGTGCAGAACAATTCCCTTCAGAAGAATGTAGCCGTTCTCCTTTGGCGAGCGAAAGAGTGACATCGCTATATTTAGATGCATTGAGAGATAACTTGGAAGACGAAGACCATAAGTTTAAGGCAGATAAACTGGTTTGAAGCGGACATCACCTTGAAATTTGGAACGTATTGTGACATCAGCAGCAGAAGATCATCTGGGTTAGTGGGAANGACTATCGAAAGAGAAAAGAAAGGGGAACAGAATTACTCCCTGAGTTGACTGGTAGGGAGTCAGAGGTTTTTCCGAGAAACTTCGTGAGTTGTGTTCTGTCAGCAAAATAATCTTGAAGCAGAGAGAGAGGGTATTATGGGACAATCCAACACTTTGGAGTAGAGACAAAAGCCTGCTCCTGTCAACACAGTTAAAAGCGTTACTATAGTCGAGGAAACACACACCAAATGCCCTGCCGTGCATGTCTAGGGATCGCAAAACCGAGTTTACCAAATGCGCAAGAACATCTAAGGGAGAAAGTTGTTTGCGATAAGCGAATTGGTTTTCATCTAGCTGTCCAGTATTGGGAATAATGTTACTAAGCATAAACTTCTCGAAAATTGTTAGTACACTAGAAGTGCATGCGATTGGTCGAAGTTTTCCAGCTTCTTTTTTGGGGACTGGTGTAATGCGCACAGATCTGCAGCAGTCGACAATTTTTTGTTCCTCGAAGCAGCGGTTGAAAATACCGAAAAGTGGCTCCGCCAGATAATGCGCACATTCCTTGTGGACGACTGGAGATAGTCCGTCGGGACCGGAAGCTTTTGATATTTTGAGGCACTTCAGCTGTGCCCGCACCTGATTAGAGTTGACTTGATGGTCAACTGACTGGAAATAAGAATGCGATGGTTCAATTTGATTTGACGTGGAAAACATGCAGTTGAGTTCATCTACTGTGGGTTGAGGCTCACGTAGTCTGACTTTTGTTCCACGGAGTTTTTTTTGCAGCGCTCCAGACTTGCTTACAATTACGGTCACCAAGAAGGGTTTCAGTGTAGAGTTTGTCAAGATTTTGGATCTCATTCTAATCAGCACTGACGTTTGTTTATCTAAAGGTCGGTCACGATTTCTATATGCCCATTCCTTGATTCTTCTGAGGGTCCTCAAATTGCGAGAATAAAATCTGGCGGGACTGATGTACATAGAGGATATGGGGCAGCAGACGTCAAAGCAGAAGTTCAAATAGCTCGTGAGGTGTTCACACTCGACCGAGACACGTGGATCGAAGAACTGATCAGAATTTGTACCACAGACCATTTCTCTCAGTGATGCCGAGTGGACCGGGTCGCACAGTCTATGAAGAATCTTCCGGCTAGATGTACGTGTCAGTGTGCTATGATGTTTCTTTGAGTAGACTTTTGGCAAAACATTTATGATACAATGTTCAGAGGGGGCTCCTCTTCGCACAGCAAACAGGTCAGGATCGTTCGAAAACATAAGGTCCAGCTGCGCATTTCCTCTTGTGGAGAAAATTACAAGATTGTGGAGAGGGAGATAAAAGTCAAGAAATGAATATTTGCATGTTTAAAATCACCACAAACTATAACAGGAGAGCGTTCCGTGTAGTTAGAAAGTTCGGATATCAGCAAAGGTTTGTACATCAGAAGTCGCACAGGAAGGTGCTATGTGAATGTCTGATGCCGCGATGGAACGCTATTTACTAAGGAAACGGGGAAACGGAAAACGGTTTCAACCGAAAGACATGAGATATATCCTACGTTGTAGGTGAAGATAATCTTTGTAGCTTTACACCAAGACGATTTGATGTAGGTTATTAGACCACCGCCTCAATTTCGTAGTAAACAGTCTCTATCCAACCGATCCATATGATATAAATCCAGCTCAACCAAAGAGTCGTTGATGTTAGGATGCAACCACGTTTCTTGCAGCATAATTATCCCCAATGCCTGATATTTTTTCGTTCTTATCAGTTTCATGAAGTCGCTTATTTTTCCAAATATTGATCGTACGTTTGATGAGCAACTAGCAGGGATAGACATTTTCTGAGGTTTTGTGTTATGTAAACCTGCTCGGTGTTTTCTGAGGAAACCATCACGCTACACTTTCCTGTCGTCCACTTCTTGATGAGCTGGCGTTTGAGGGATTTGCGCGCTGTCATATATAGCAGGACGAGGAAGGATTCTGCGGGTGTCCAGCGGGGTAGCGGAGGTCGATGAGATCCATCGTTTGTGTTTTGAGCCTGTGCGAAGGTCTGACGTTCGTTTTATTGATATTTGCATAGCTTCCTTGATTTGCTTCCAGTGTTTATTGAGTCCTTCGATTGTTAGTTGAACTGACAGGTGATCGGAGAGTTCCGCTTCGAAGGCTGATTCGCAACAGTCGCTGACGTTGTACCGTGGATATCCGTTGTCGGTGGCTTTTCTGCCGTTGTTTGCCAGGCGTAGGGAGAATTTGGCTTGTATCAAGGCGTGGGCATTATCCACAGCTGTTGACCAGTAAGAGCGGCAGTCTTGAATTGATCCCCTCCAGCGGTAACTGATGGCGATGTGGTCGATTTGGGTCCAGCGTTGTGAAGAGGTTGGCGGTTTCTATGTAAAACAGTGACTAGAATCCAATCAAGAAGCGAGCGTTCAGCCTTAGCACTTAGCGCAATCCCGACAGCAGGAACACTGAGCTTCGGACGCCGAATCGCTTGATACACGAAGGGTGAAGCGTGAGGATGAGGTTGGATCAGGAGAACGCAAGGAGATAATGGAAGTGGGGTCTTGTATGCGTGTTTCGGAGACAAAGCATACACCTAAATTAAAATTTTCAAGGGTTTGGACTAGGGCAGCTTGTTGACCAGTCTGATAGAGCGTGCAGACATTGAACGCGGCTAAGTGAAAAGGAAATTTCGGCTTTAAAAATCCTGTAACTTCTGATTTTTTGGCCCTGATGGTAAAACGCTGAGTGATATTCGATGGGTGTTGTAGACAGCAGCCACGGCGATCTGTCTTCATTCTTTTACGTCTTTAAAATGACCGCTTCAAGCCGTTCAATTGGAATCTTTTCACTTTCCCGTACTGAACTGAGTTTCGCTAGCTCAAATTCCAAGGCCGACCTTTTCTTTACCTTGAAAGCCGATGGGATAACCTGTCGGGCTGATCCCTTCATGGTTTTTGAAGTAACTTATTTCCCGGGTGACCTATAATTCAGGAGAATCGATGTCGACTGACATTAGTTGCCCACTTACAAAGGGGTTAGCTAAGTCTGATGTCACATTTTCTCTCTCCATCGCTGATGACTGCGTTCCCAAATCGGAGACTCCTTCATTACCTGAACTACGCCTGCCTTTCATAATACCCTATTCTTGATTAAACGGAAGAGATTGTGAGTTTCACTCATAACCGAAGCCTTCTCCGTCTCTTGAGAGGTTATTACCCAGTCAGTCCTCATACTCTTGATGAACTGGTCTCGGGAACTTGCGCGCTGTCATATTTGATATTCAGAAGAATAGTTATGCGGGCTTCCATCAAGGCATGTTAGGTCAAGGAGATCCGTGGTTTGTGGTTTAACTGTGGGCCAGAATCCATTCCTGTTTTGATCTACATTTTGGTAGCTTCCGTGACTACCCTCCAGTGTACACTGAGTAATTAAAGTGAGAAGCGTTGAGAGGGATGTTCGCTTCGAGGGCTTACTTCCGATTGATTATTACATTGTACTGTGGTCATCCGTTGCTGGCTTTTTTATTTTGGAACAATCTTACTCATACCAGAGCAGCCATGTGTATCTACGCTTGTTGACCAGTAAGAGCGGCATTATTGAATGTTTTTTCGTCATATTTGGAACATGACAATGTGGTCTATTGCAGTCCATTGGTGAGAAGGGATGGGTTTTCATTTAAGGTGGTGTTTCTTGTGGGGGGAATTGGTGCTTGATAGGAACAAACCGAGGTCCGCGTAGATTTGATCTCCGTTCATCGGGTTGGGTAGAGGGATTCCGTTTTGTCCTCTGAGGAGCATTTCTGTCGTACGTCCGAAGATTTCGCTTGGGCTCTGAAGCCGTTGGGGTCTAGCTGGTCGAGAAAGATCATTGAAGAATTAATCCTTCGTTTCGGGCCACGTGCAATCAGTTGAACACGACGAACAGACACGAACGGTTTTTTTTACACTGAATCATCTAGACGTACAGCTTACTGGCGGTGACTGGATTCCAATCAAGAAGCGAGCGCCCAGTCTTGATCTTTGGCGTCATCTCGACACCAGCCTCATAATGAGTATCGGAATCCGAATCGCTCAGCATCCGAAGAGAGTGCAACGTGAGGATGAAGTTGTACGCGAAGAATATGTATTAATCGTATTTTTACATTAGGTTTATACATCTAAATCTCTATCCGTCTTGGATGGTAGAATTTCCAAGTAGATAGGCAATCAGGACCGCTTTCAGTTCGCTTCTCAGTATTTGCTAGGAAGATTGAATGTAGAAACGCGCCAGTATTTCAGCCAGTCCAGCTCTGCTATTTCCATACTTATTTGCCACTTATATTTGTGATATTCCCTGTGTTTCTCCCGCACGAATTTTGAAATATGCAGATGATGTCGTGTTGTGCCAACCCATTTCTTCTTACTCTGATCTAAGTTCTTTTACCGATAATCTTGATCAAATTCAGTCATTCTCCTCCTCATTGAGGCTAACCCTGAACCCCAGTAAATGTGTTGAGTGTTTATATAGTTTTGCTCGCTCTCCATATCCGACAGACCCCACAGTGATTAATAACAATCCTTTATCCAGGGTGAACTTTGTCAAATATCTTGATGTAACCATAATAGCAATCTTCATTGGTCAACCCACATCCACAACTGCATTGGTAAACTGCGACGCCTTTCATTTCAAATACGAAAGCTCAGGCAGTTTCGCGCATCCCAGTCAGTTATTTCTACTTTTGTTTATCAATATGTTTTCCCCAT